TTAGTGAATTCACTAATTTGTGGGTTCCAATTAGTTATTTTCTTATTTCAGTAGTTATTTCCTATTCGATTAATGATTTTAGTTTTTTTGCACACCTGTTTGCTTGATTTTTTTTGAATTGGTCTTACCGTACTCATGCTTGTTGATTTAGTAATAAAATATTTTCACTTTTCACTCTTTAAAATTGCTGCTAGTGGCCTACTTTTCTTTTGAATATTAAAGTTTGATAGGTTATAATTCTCTTGAACATATTTCCATTAAGAATATTGGTTTGAATTCATGTCCTTAATAACAACGTGCATTTGTTTGGTTTTTATTTTCCAGTTTCTAGCTATGCTAATCAGCTCTTTTCATTTGTGATCAAGAAGCCGGGCTGTGGGGCTCATTTTGGTTATTTTACATGTATAGGTTGAAATTGTCAAATATAGGGGCATTATTACTCATCTCGCTGGGGCATGAAAAGTAATGGAACCACCTTGGGACAAGTGTCAAACATGCAACAAGCTATATAGTAAAGTACAATGTTATAATGGATCAAAGGCAAAGTCAAATGGATTTGCAAATGGAACAAATGCGAAATGGTATGGAATTGAAATTGCAACGACAATTGGCGGCCTGTATGAGACAACTCGATCCGTCTGGTAACCCACCATGTAGTTCTCAGTTTTTGTCATGACATTGTAATGGTATTTTGAGTATTTTAATGTATGAATGTTATGTTATTGACTATTTTAATGTTAATGGATGTAATCATATTTGACTATTATTATAATTATGTTTGTGGTTTTTTTTGCATTAATTTTGAGGAGAAAATTTGGATATGTTTAAAATTATAAATTTAACATAGCAACGAATTTTTGTCGGAATTGTATTCAATAAAAATTGGCAAAAAAATCATAGAAAATTTTGTAAGAAATAAATATTCTGTAGGAAATAAAATACAATAAAGTTTGTAGGTATTCTGTAGGAAAAACAATTGGTAGGTATTTTGTAGGAAAATTAGTTGGTAGGTATTCTGTAGGAAAATCATTTGGTAGGTATTCTGTAGGAAAATAATCCGTAGGTACTTTGTAGGTGTTCCAGAGCAAATAAACCCGTAGGTACTTAGTAGTAAACGCGTTCCGTAGGTGTTCCGAAGGTAAATTTGTAACAGAATATTCCGTAGGAAATGCGTAGGAAAGTTTGTAGGTAATTTGTAGGAAAAAATTACCCACGAGGGTTTTTCCTACAATCCGTTTTTTGTAGGAATTCTGTAGGTAACGACTTTCTCCTACGGATTTCCTATAAATACTGCCGTAGGTAATTCCCTAGTTTTCTAGTAGTGATACTATAATAATAAGGAGGTCATGTCATTAAAGAAATCGAGTTGTAGTAAAAGAAATCGACTAATAAAAGGTGTTTATTGTAAAACATGGATTTAAACTCCAATTATACCAAGACATCATTAAGGATTAAAAACAATTACAAATTAATAGAAACAACACAAATCTATTAACTAACATCCAACAAAAGCTTAACCACCTAGAATATCAACAAAAGTAGCTTCATTAAGAGCTCCTAAAAACGAAACCATATGCATCACAAATAGCATTTAAATTGCAATGAAACAACATATACCATTAGGCTACAAACTTAGAGTCTAAAATAACAAAAAGTGATCATTGATTCTAATTAACAATACACAAAGGTGATTCTCATATGTCTGCATAACATCCAGAAGCACAAATGATATCTAAATTCACATAAGATTATCAGACAACAGACTACTACATTGACAATGCCAAACATTGAAATTACCACAAGATTATCAATTCAATATTCATAAGCATGTGGATCGAAATCACCAAGATTATCATCCTATTTATAGGCACGTGGATCAAAATTGCCATATCTAGCATCAAGTCATCTATACCACTACACCGACAAATGAGAGACATTAGTTAAAGCATGGAAATTTCATGTATAGTAGAATTGTAAGGAAGTAAGGTCATAAAATAAAATGAGTTGTAGTAAAAGAAATCGACTAACAACAAACTTTTATCATAAAACAAGAGTTTAACTTAACTTAAATCAAACATTCAAATTTCCAACAAAAATAATAGAAAAAGAAGAGCTGAGGTGTATCGTTGGGGACGAGGGGAAGATTTGGCGCATAGGGGTCGACAACGGAGGCACACCGCTTGGCTCAACGACACTTCTTGGTCGATGCAGGCCAATGATGACGAAATGAAAAGATCAATGCACAGAGGAGTTGACGGTGGAGACGCATTGCAGAGTTGACAACGCTGCTTAGGTAGTGTTTGTTTTTTCTCTGCAGATCTGCGTGACCTCTTCTGTCTGCGCCGCGCAGACCACGCGCAGGCATTAGCCTTCGCAGACTGTTTGTTTTTTTGAAGACTGCAGACCTAAAAATGTCTGCGCGCCCTCTTCTTGGCGCAGATGTGGACCAGAGTCTTCTAACATCTTCATACATCTTCTAGCCTAAAAAACATATATATCTTTACTTTTTTTAAGTTTTTTTTTAATTTATATTTTTTCCAACTTTATTAATGATAAACAATTTGAAAAAAAAATTACAAAACTTAAAAAAAAAAAAAAAACTTTCGACGATACAAACATGATATCTTTAAAGATTTATTACAATAATAGTCGTTGAAGTTGTTTATATAAATATGAAAAAAAAAATCATAATATATTCTTATATTTTTTTGCCAAATTTTGTAAAACATTATTTAATACAGTATCGTCAATTTCTCGAGAAAGTATTTATGGTACGTTTTTAATGGATTTAATTGAAAAAATCAAAGTTTATTTCTATCCATTTATGTATCAAATTCTTTGATCACTAATTATAATCTGTAGTTATAACTTTGCAACCAAAGTTGTTGGTTTTTATCAAATATATACGTTAATTCATACCATTTTTATTTTTATTTTTTATATAATAATACATAAAGTTGATATAGATTCGTTAATTATTTATAACAAAGTCATAAAAATATTAAAAAACCACTTTGAAGTTTAAAAAAATCAGTTTATTTAGATTTCAGTTTATTTTAGTAGCCCGCAGATGTTAAAAAAACAAACAGTCTTCTTTTTTCAGACTGCAGACGTTTGGTCCACCTCTTCTACTACGGAGGTCTACAGATATGGTCCGCAGACTGCAGACATTTTGCCTGGGAAAAAACAAACAACACCTTAGGTACTTGTGTTGACTTCCTCATCAAGGTGCCCATGAAAGAAGCTTTATTTACATCTAGGTGATCCACCCTCCGTTATTTTTACGAATCAACCGCTAATGCATAACGAAGTGACAATTTACAAGAGCGAAGTTTCATGAAAATCCACACCTTTAAGTTGCGTATATAGGTTTTCGCCAACAATGTTTTGCGCCTAGTGGGCTATTTTCACCTTTCAGCCCATTTTCTGATTTTGCTTGGGCTCGAATCTCATAGTCATAGCTGCGCAAGGTAGAGAATCAACAGCCACTGGCTCATTTTCATCGTAATCACTAATCAGTTCAATTGACTCATACAAACTTGATACATTGAGTTTTTGTGTGAAATCATTGTCTGCATCAGAAGTAGGTTATATGTGTTTCGTCAGGTCGTAAATTTGAATGTGAAATAGGTTGTAAATCATTAGGGAGGTGATTATTGGTTCACTTAAGAAACACATGCATGTGATCTATCCTGTTGACATCAACGAACCTTTTATCCAAACTAGTTAAATTAGGTTAACGATGAAACCATATTTTTAAGTAATTACGGTTGAACATCAACATCGGAGCAGATACCTTCTTTTGAAACCGAACCCCTTTAGAAATATAGTTTTGGAACTAAACCGGAACTATGTGATTAGTTCCGGTTCTAAAAGTATGGAACCGATTGAGACCTCAGGTTCTCAACTTTTTATATGGATGAAACATTAATATTTTTCTATATGGTCTACTATAAAAAATAATTGAAAGACACCAACTAATAGACATATATTTTGAATGTGACAAGGCAAGTTGATCATAAATGGAAGGCGGTGGCTATGAATGTCATTACCGGCCTGTATGGCCACATTTGATGAATGGTGGAAAGAATGGTATGGCCGTATGGGGCACAGTGCCATGCACAATTGATTCCGGGAAACTGCGTATTCTATCTCTTTACCTTGGTCCTATACATGCTTTTCCATGACACTCGAATCAACTCTTCCTTGAATTATATAATATAACCTTTTTTCAATTTCGTCTAGGTCACTAGGTGTTAATTAATGTAGGTGTCCCCAACATTCACTTAAGATATATTATTTGATTGGTATCGTGTAAATCCATGCACGTTTGAATAACTTTTTGAAATGATACATAGATGGATCATACATGGTGAAATTGGTTCTAAGATTACCAAAGTGAAGTATGTAACAAGTAAAAGGATGAGATGAATTTGGAACAATGGGATCATTTGGGATGACTACAAACAGGCTGGAAACCATGCTTTATTGCAGCTTTCCAAACAACGTCGATTCTATCAACATCAAGAGCACCAACTTCATGGTGAGTCCATCCTTCCAAGCTATGCACCACCCCTCCTGCATGGCATGCATGCACTATGCCTCTTCCCATTGTATACTGCATGCATGCATGCATCAAATCAAATCCCACATATATCGGATTAAACAGAATGCATATATATTCTTTATGAAAATAAAAAGAAAGTAATACGTTTGATTTTGTGTATTTGTAAGACAATGAGAGTATATGTATATATATACCTCGCAAGATCCAAGACCTTCAACATCATCAGGTAGTTTCATGGCTGCAAGGTCACCATAAGTGCAGTCTCTTCTAAAAGCAAAAATCGGTGGTACCACAAACTGATGAAAATGAGTTCCTGATGGGGCCCACCTTTGCTGTCCCGGAGTTATCCATTTTCCGACCACCCACGTCTGGCATCATAAAACAATTCAAATGTTTCAAATACTAAAAAGAAACTTTAAATTCATTCCGTACAACTAGGGTCTACATTAATATTAAAAACCCTAATTAAAGAACTCGTTTAATATCGAAGGCTTAAGGATTGTTTGATTGTCTTTTACTTGGTCTAGTAAAAGATTGAGTCTGGTTTATCAAATTCAGACTATTTAATTTAATACCACAATTATGGCTCTGATAAGAGACTCGTTGTGGCTCAATCAACACTATCACTTAATTAGTCCTTAAACATTCAATCATTAAATCTATAAAAACCTTGCAGTTTCGTGCAGCTTGATACTTGGTGACTTGGACCAAATTCTTCTGGCAATCTGTTGGTGCTTCTGATTGGATGTTTTGAAATCTCTCTGTTGCATGAGTCAGCATCTGCAATTAATTTGAATTACGATGGGTAGGTGGCAGTTTAATTCACCATGATATATGTCACTCTTTAGGTAAACGTTGGAAGCTAGTATACCACATATATATTTGAACTTTTAAAGGAGTATTATTTGTTTATTTCATGAGTTTCTTTCACTATAAAATGTTTGATGTTAGTAATGAAAATAGATGTTGAAAGTATGTAAAGACTTACGAGAACACGAACTCCTCGTCTGCAAAGGTAGAGGGCGATGGCTCTTCCAAGCTTTGAAGTTGCTCCCGTGAGAAATACTTCTTTCACATCTTCATGAATCTCGTTAAGGATAACAGCTGCTGTTAATGTATTCCCATGTACTACTCGTACTTTCAAATTCGGGTGCTTTTTCACAAACAATGTTCCACCTCCGTTAAGTGCTTCGTTCTACAAATTTTACATATTGAATCAACCAAAAATTTCACTTAAGAAATTATTCATATGATTTGAGTAAGAGATTAAATTAATAGATACCTTATTCAAAGCTGCAAGGCTAATGACCTTTACGCCTAATTTATCAGCCCTTAGAATCGCTTCCTCGATATGCTTGTTAATGCCTTCACTCGCGAATGGCAAGAAATACTAAAAAGAAATTAACAAATTAAATGAATGTAAGAAATTTATAAAATGTTAAGGGCTTAAACATGAGCAAAACCTCATTTCTTCATTGGATATGTATAAAGTTGTAGGAGTGTTCATCGGTTCAAATCCATTGGATTTCTATGGAACCGATCCAATCCAATCATTCATTGGATGTTGAATTTTGTCGACCTATCCAATCCAATTCAATATAAGAAACCGAACCGAACCGATCCAATTGGATGTTGGATTGTATCGGTTTTATCTATTGAATATTTTTTATTGGTTTATTCCATTGGTTATCTATACAACCAATTTTAATCCATTTCTATCGAATAACCAAATATAACTGTGATAACTATAAATAAAACCCCTATATATACAATTACGCTAAATAAAACTAACATGGTAACATCAACTTCAAATCTTCAACTTATTTTTTTATTGAATAACTAATAATATTAATTGGATTTGGATAGGGGTGACAAATTGGGTAATCGTGTCGTGTTTTTGTCTGACACGACACGACAAGGTTTTATGTAACACGAACACGACACGACAAGATATCGTGTTTTTTTTAACTAACATTAAATGAACTAATTAAAAAACTATAAACACAACACGATACAAAAATAACATAAAATAAGAATTAGTTTATTTATGGGTAAATTGCAATAGAGTTACCAAGTTAACCGAAAATTTCGATTTTGACACCGTATTTTTTTTCTTAATTAAATCATTATATTTATAATTTTGTTACAATATCAATTAAATGACCAATTCTTCATGTTCTCCCGATAACCACTCTTTCCAAATTGCAATAAAATCACTAATTTTACCAAAATTTTGATTTTGACATCGTTTTTGTTTTCTCAATTATGTCATTCAATTTAAAATTTTGTTGCATTGTCAACCAATTGACCAATTACCATTGATTTAGTGCGTAACCAGATAAATGACATGATAATATTGTGATGTGAAATCCACGTCGGATCTTATGTGGCATGATTGAGTTTCTAATATAGGGTGTGCATTGAGAGAAAAAAATACAGTGTCAAAATCGAAATTTTCGGTTAACTTAGTGACTTTATTGCAATTTGCCCATTATTTAATTAATACTTAATCATACATAACATGACAAATACGAAAAACACAACAAACAAATGTTAAATTTTGTCAATTTCATGTCGAATTTTAAACAAAAACACAATACGACACGACATCAAAGTTTTTACACTCGACACGAAAATTTTGTCCCAATTTCGTTTCGTGTGGTGTATTTTTGTCATGTCGTTTCATCAATTGTCGCCCCTATATTTGGATAATAATATTGGATATTAACTAGATTAAAATTGGATTGGTTCAGTTCGGTTGTCCATCGGATTTTCAGGATGATCGAATAACCAATTCAATCCAATTGGATTTTGAAATTTCGCATCTGATCCAATCCAATTGTAATTGGATATCCAATCCAATCGATCAGTTCGTAATTGGATCGGTTAATTTATGTACATCCTTATTAAGTTGAAAAAAACTATCCGTATATAACTTAATTAGCTCGTGTCGTGTCTTATATTAAGTTAAAAAGAAAAAAACAGCTAAAGGAAGAGACAAACCTGAAAGCCAAAACGAGGAACAACCCATGTCTGGTGCAATCTTCCTCTTAAGTTGTAAAAAGATAAAAGGAATGTCTTAGCCTTAGCCCACATCACCAACATCACGATGAACGTGGTAGGGAATAATGGTAGCAAGAAAAGTCTAGCATTATAAGGCAATGATGAAAATGATCTGAAGATGAAGGGAACGTGTAGTGCAGATCTTATATCAACCACATGTGCCAAGAACACGAAATCTGGCACCCTTGTAGACTTACCTACATGTAAATAAATAAATAAAGATTACTTCTACTTAAAATAAGTTACAAACTCCAATAATTTTTTAAGTTTGAAAAAAACCACAATTATAAATACAAATAGTTGTTCAAATATTATTGAAAATGTTTAATTTTTAAGTAACTCGACTTCCACTTTCACAAACTCACTATTCACGAAATCAAGAATGAGAACGAGATTAGAGTTTGATCAATTTAATTATATGATTTGAAAATCTAAACCAAACTCAGTAAAATAAATGGATGGATATGCGATTATTTCAATAGTAAAAGGGGGTTATATGTCAAAGTGGAATAGTATATGAGTTTCTTATCCAAGTGTTTCCCAAGTTGCGTGTTTTGATTTTTAACTAAAGATCAAGCATTTATTAATGCCGCCCACTAAACGTTATGAAGTATACAGAACAGTCGATCAGATGTAAGATTTTGGATTATAACTTCACTTCACAACTACTAGTATTTAATATTTACTGGAATCTACTAAATTGAAATACAACGCATACAATACACATTCCAACTACTTATGAGTTAGCCCACAAATGCCGCCCACTAATAATCCAATTGTTTTCAAATGGGACAAATATTTATTATAAGAGAAATTAAATACTTTCCACTTCTTATTTTCCTCCTTCGTAACATTTATAAAATTATTATTTTCATTCAAACAGAATCTGTAAATTCCATTGGTTTTTTTATTCATGTAATACTAAATAAGTTACCTGCATCGAGACTTATTCTCTTGTGTAAATCCCAAGACTTTGTGTTCAAAGTGTTCCATATTGCATCATAGAGGGGCATAAATAGACAATAGTTGCTGTTCTTCTCACTGTGGTGCAGGCTATAGTATCTGCAAAATAGATTTAAAAATTAATTTGAAATTATAATTAATCAACTCAATGTCTATATATATATATATATATATATATATATATATATATATATATATATATATATAAATTTGAAATTGCACCGTTGATCCTTTGTACTAACTCTGTAAGCCTTAGTAAAATCATCAATATGCCTTGAAGAGAGGAGAGAAGAGAGAGGGTGGGCCCATGGGGCCATCACTATTTAAAAATAGTTAAATTTTAATATAAAAAAACATATTATATTAAAAAGAAAAATACAAGGAGGGATATATGAGTAATTTTATATCTTTAACAAGGTTTCGTAACAAAGTTTGAAGCTATAACCATTGGTGCAATATTTGGAAAGGATAAACCAAAGGCTTCTAGCGCAGTGGTATTCGGTATTGCCCTCCCTCTTTGAGGTTGAGGGTTTAAGTCCCGTCGTAGGTGGATTTAAGGTGTAGTTTAGGAGTAAATTAGATTTGCCGTTTCAAAAAAATAGAAATTTTTTTTTTTTTTTTTGGAAAGGATAACCTACGAATTTGAGTGTTTGAGTAATTTATCTTTTAAACTTTGGATTGAAACTGCGAATTTGATGATTTACTCTTAAAAGAACTTACGTTGGGGTGTAGAGTAGATATTTGAAGAAGGGAAAGTCGTCGAAAATCCAGTGAGGCACGATCTCAACGTTTGAATGGCCGAAACAACATAAGAAGTCAAAGACAAAGACATAGCCGTAGATTACAGTCTTCGATCCGAATCCCAGTAGACAGCAAATAAGTATGGGTACTCCGATCACTGTGGTTACTAATAACCCTTCCAAGAACGTGGTGCTTCCGGCTGCATTTATTTTAAGTACAATTAGTATCAAAAAAGTCATGGGCAGTTGTATTACGTGTCAGTGTATTATTCCATCCTTACAACTCATTTGAATACAATACCCACAATCTCTTTATTGAACGTATCAAAACTTTAAAATAATAGATAGATCATGTTTGATTTTTTTTTTAACCGGCAAATACAAATATTATAATCTACTCGTAAACTAACATCTAATTCCACCTATGTCCACCATGGGACTTGAACCCTCAACCTCAAAGAAGGAGGGCACTACCTGATACCTGATACCGTTGGGCTAGAAACCTTTTGGTGATAGATCATGTTTGATGTTTTGTCATTTCAAGAAACGAGTTTGGTAAACGTATCCTTCGAGTATTAATTGAATGATATTCACCACAACATCGACACTCGACACGTTTTGGGAATTTTACTAGAAGTACAAAAGTTATGACATTGTGGACCATCGAATAATAAGTTCGCGCCGATGAAGTTCGTCACTTCATAAATGTTCAAGAAAATGTTTGCAAAACCTCAAAAATCATACAAATAACGTTTTAGAACATATATATTTTGGATATATACTTGCATGCTGTATAAATCTTATATGATTCTTTCCTTTTTTATGGAACATTAATTAATTTTGTCATATGGTTTAATATAAAAAGGTAACTTAAGGACACCAATATAGACTGGATCTTGAGTAGATGCATGATCATAAATGAAGGAAGATGAGGCTATGAATGCCTTTACCTGTTACTGGCTGGGGCACAGTTGATGAATGGTGGAAAGAATGGTATGGGGTATAAAGGTAATTTCCATGTAGGAGTCTATGCATCCAATAGTACAGTGGCTCCGAAACAAACACATGCACTACCACAATAGCTACTAGCCCTTTGGTTTCCCATACAGACAAGTTTGCAAATCCATAAGGGAACAAGTAAATAGCCATGGAAGCTATTAGAGCTTGTAATATCAAAAAATTGTCCCTGAAATTAAGAAAGGGTTCATTGTAAATGTTAACATCTACAAACCTAACAAAGAAATAGGTATTAATTATGTAGTAAGATATTTATTATTAAGATTTTGATTTGAGAGTTGTGTACCAATTCCATTCTTTGTCTATTTGTTCAAAGTCAATGCCTTTTGTACAAATCCGGCGATTTCGGGTAAGGAAAAGCATGTTACATGTGTTGGTATACCACATGTATAGAGCAAATCTAAGAAAGCTTATTAGGAGAATATGGAAACACCAAGTGCTTGCTAGATTATGATCATCCCCTTCAAGTCTTGAATGTATAACCTTCCCCACCAATGGTCCAAGCAACATATACTACACAAATATTTCAAGTTAGTAAAATTAAAAGCAAACGTGTTTTTGTTTCTGTGTTGGTGTTTTGTGTCAAACGAGATGAATTACCTTGTAAACGCCAAGATTTTCCCAAGGCCATGTAGATAAAAGAGCAGTCTTCAACATTATGATTGATATAAATTAAACAGCTAACCCTAAGCAAGAAAGAACAGGAAACCTAGCTAGGTGTGGATGGATCGAAACCTGGTTAAATCTTTACTCTAAAACATATTGGCTATAAGATGGAGCATTTTCTTGTAGTGGCCAAAATGGTGAATTCTTATAGTATAAGCTCAAGAAGAACATGCACGATAGAGGTTTCCTAAACACCAACGGACAAGGACCACCAGAACGACTCGAGAGATGGAAAGACAATAGATTGGTATTTTAGGGAAATTTGTTCTCTTTTGTGAACAAAATGATAGTAAAAAATTGAGACTATATAGGCAAGAAAACATGCAATATGGGCCTACATGAAAATGTGAAATGACTAAGAAATGGTAGCATTGTACCTCCCAAAATACAGTTAGGAAGTGGTGGGGTGGAGGGTGAGGAAAAGGGACGTGTCATTTAATTTTCTATACCAAGTTACCTTTTTATCCTTGAGCGATTGTTAATTGATTGCTAGCCATGGTTCTACTTTACAAAACTAATATATATGTTGTTAATCAAAAAGATATAAAATCTGAAATTCAGCCTATATAATCTTAAAAAGGATGTTTGAAAAAACTATATATATATATTTTAACTTATTACCGGTTTTATACAGATATAAATTAAAAAAAATATTTGAATAATATATACTTTTTTAAACATAGATTATAGTTTTCCCACATCGTAGATAAGTCATCTAACTTATCAAAAACTCTCAAAGAACCTATTTTACAAACTTCATTTTGGTACCTTATAAAATAATTATAAAAAAATAAGCTAATTTGTTAATACGTTAAAAAATACTTATAATTTTAAATAATCACTCCTAAACACCCCCCTCATTGTTTTTCAAGGTCTTACAAAAACAAAAGATATTTACTAAGGTGACGTTTTTTTTTTGTCCGCAGATCTTCTTAGCCTTTTCTGTCTGTGCGGCACAGACCACGCGCAGACATTAGCTTTCGCAGACTGTTTGTTTTTTTGAAGACTGCAGACTTAAAAATATCTGTGCGCCCTCTTCTTGCCGCAGATATGGACCAGAATCTTCTAACATATTCATACATCTTCTAGCATAAAAAAACACATATATCTTTATTTTTTTTAGTTTTTTTGAATTTATATTTATTCCAACTTTATTAGTGAT